CAGAATTTGCTCCCACCTGCTCTCCTGACTGACTGTACAGTCACAAAATCTTCTAGAGCATTTTCTGAAGGTGCCTACCAAAAACTGACAATCTGCATTCCCACAGAAAATTCAACACTTGCTTTATTGAGATGGAGTAGTCTAAAAACTGTAAGACTGGTACCCCATGACGTCACTGCACAGCCAGCACCAGCTCTGACCTGTGATACTGCTGAGCACCAGTGACCAGCACCCAGCTAACTCTGCCCCTGACAGAGTAACTGCCTCCTCTGCATCTCCCCTCATGACCAGATCACCCCAAATAGCTCAGTTACATAGAGAGGGAGCAACCACAAACTTCCCTGGGGTTCTCAGAAGCACCAAGTACAAACAGAACAAATCACTGGCAGACTGTATGGATGCTCTAAGGGTGGCCAAGACGACTTTTTAGCCAAGATTCAGCTATCTTGATCAATGGCAATTGATCAAATTAAGCTCAACCAAGTTACACATGTTCTGCCCTCCTATCCTTTGCTGCCAGTTAACTATAAGCCATGGTGACAGTACTAGTGAAGTGCTTGAAACAGGCAGTACCAAAGGATTCACCTCTCAAAGGATGTAACAAGCAAAAAACAAACTAAAAAGGGACTCTGTGTGTGAGATGCTTAAGCTCTAGTAAAGACACCCCATGTTTTCAGCACGCACTGGATAAGCTATTAAAACCAAATAAAACTCAAACAATTTCAAATTGTCTAACCAAATCCCTCTTCTGCTCCCCATGCTTTTATTTTCCCCTCTGAGATACTATAGTTTCCTTTTTTATAATTTTTATAATTTTAGTTATTTAAAAATTACGAGTCAATATAAGAATATAAAACTCTTTAAGTATAGACTTATAAGAATAACAGACTTTTACCCCAACCACTCCAAAAGGGTTGTACAGATTAATAAGTGCAAGTAATGATGATGCACATGGGTTCTTTCTCTCTGTCTCTCCAACACTGACTTGGGGGTGGGGGTGGTTTGCTTTGGTTTTTGGGGGGTTTTTTTGGGTGGATTTTTGTTCGTTTGGGTTTTTGTTTGTTGGTTGTTTGGGTTTTTGTTTGTTTGGGTTTTTTTCATGTTTTTTGTTTCCTTTAAAACAGCACATATGATGACCAGAAATTTTCTGTGGGGAGAGTCAGAGTTTCTTGGGGGGTGAGGGAAGGTTAGGCCCCCTGCCCCAATAAACAGCTTTAGGCCTCACTGTTTCTATGCAGAGCTTCTCTACTCTTCCACAGAGCAAAACGAGCCAAATTATTGTCAAATTTTGTAAGAAGCAAAAGTTCACTCTGTTGAAGCCTGTCAAAGTTACCACGCATGAACTCTACACTTACACACACAGTTCTATTTAGAGATCCTCTTCACAACAACAATGGCTAGAAAAATTTTTAAAAGCAAACTAAATTCAGCACAAGTTAGCCAGAATCTCCTGGAAAACTATTTCAAGCAGTGATTACACAGTTTGATACTAAGAATCCATTTTTTTCAAATCAAACAGTTTCAAGATCTGCTGCATCTCCAAGATCAACTGAATGTATAAAAACATTTTGGCTGCATCCAATTGCACACACTCCCACTGTCACACAAACAAGTTTGAAAGATGCACTTCAGCAAAGTTACTTTTTAAAGTAAGGAAAATGCAGGAAGAGGATGAGATTTTTGCCTCGCTGTTTTAAAATGCATTTACAGATTATAATGCAACATGCTCTCCTTGCTTCATCACAGCACAAGCTGCGTGTCAGGGGAATCACACCTCTAGCTGGTTCACAAGCACTAATTAATTAAGTGACTGGCGGAGCCAAAAGATTGTCAGATCAATTACATATGAAAATAACTAATAAGCACAATTGATTCTAACATGTTCTTGTATTGATAGGATTGCTCAGCACTAGAAGATTTCACTGTACAAAATCAAAGTAAATTTTAAGGGTTACTTTAAAGAAAAATCTTCCCATGATGATGGAAATCCCTTTCTCATTTCCATCTTCCGGGGATTTTCTGTACCAAGAGCAAGCCAAGTCCATTGGGCCCATACCTTATTCCTGCAACTCTGATTTCTACATCAAAGCTCAGTATGGACTGTTCCTGTCTCAAAAAGCAACATGTAAGAAACTATCCAGTGAGTTTCTCACTTTGATGAAGGTCTGTGAGGATCCCAGCAGGAATGATTGCATATTATGGATTAGCAGAACAGAAAGCTTATAAGAGCAGTGAAAAACAAACAGGGAAGTAAGAGACAAACATTGGGAGTTTGGGAAGCCCAAAGTCAAATTCTGGTTCTTACTTTACATGAGCTTCATTATGAAAAGAAGAGTTGGATGTAGAAAAAAGTGTTGAGACTATGAACTAATTTTAGTTTCCTGATCCCTGTGTGGAACTAGCATCACTGACAGGTATTAAGGACTCATCAGGCTTCACAACCACCAGCATGCTGAGAGAGGAGCTGCCTGATCAGCAAATAGGAAATGCCAGGGACAAAGGTGTGTCTGAAACCCTGCCTCTCTCCACTGCTTGCAAATGTTGCCCCAGAATTACACAGTTATGTCCTTTACTCCTTTAAAAGAATAACAGGCATCGTTCTTTTCCTTTAAAGCACAACAAAAGGAGAAGCTGGCAGTGTTAAGCCCCTTCTTTAATACAGTGTTACAACAACAGGAACACTCACTCTTCATTCAGGAGACGGAGACTCCACTGCCTGTGAGGCTGAAATCCACCTCTCACCACCAGGCAGGATGAGGCCATTCCCACCAGAGGATGCAGAGAAACAGCACGTGGGAAAAGAAACAGCTACCACCCATATCCCAGAAGGTACACAGGCCAGTGGGAGCCTGACAGTTGTTAAATAAAGAAAATGGTTCTTGGGTTTGAACCCAATTCTAATATGTGGGCTATGTAAAGTCATGTTCCTTCCTTCGCTCCCTCTCCAGGCCATGAATATTTAATTCTTTTATGCAAACTGGAAGAGTTGCAATGCAAGGTTAAATTAGCCTAAATAACCTTGAAATCCTTTTGTGAAGTTGGGCCTCTGAGTCAACTCCCAATCTGTAGAGAAGTAGCTTTCATAGACAAGGAATTCTGCTCTTAGTTGTATTTAAAGCACTGTGTGCTACCATGACAAAATCTTGAGGTTAGAGTGGATTTGACAAAACTTATACTTTTGGTTCAACTTTCTGTGTTAAGAACCAAGGTTTAGACAGTCCAATAAATGTCTGTTCCTCAACTCTGAAGGCAAAATTCTTCCTGGGAAAAGGAATCAGTTACAGTATTTTCAAAGTTTTATTTGATAACACAATACATACATATGCTGGCATGTTTTGCTGCTCTCCTAGTTCCTTAAGTTAACTTAAACTTAATATCACTGCAGTTTTATTTTGCAGTAGGCCAAGCTCCCTAGACACCAGCTACAGGTATACACCAACTCAGTGCCTCATTCATGTGTCATAAAGCAACTCAAAGAAACAGACTTCTGGAAGCCTCACAGAGCTACTAAGTTTCACTTTTAATTCTCAAAGTGTTTTATGAACTTCTATTAACTCATAACCCTACAAATCATTCACATGGTTGGAGTCAGTGTGGAAAAGCTGTGTCTCAGTGATCAGTCTATGCAAAAACAGTTTCATGATCTCTCTCCAGAGGGGGGAAAAAAATAAGATATTCTTTACCCCGCCAGCTAATGGTTAAAATCTGGAAACCTTAGATGCTTGCATTTTAAAAGGTAGAAATAAGAGCTAATGTTTGAAAATCCTTATTAGTAAAATCTTTACTACGATAATGTGCACACTTATTGTTGTAAATGCTGTTTTAGCACTATCACATTGGAACTTGGCAATGAAGTGATAAAGTGATTTTTCAAGTGCCTAAGAACTTGGAAATACACTCAGAAGATGGCAAAATGACACAAGTGAAGTAAATGCCGCAACATAGCTGCCTATTGCATCTTTCTTTCCAGACAATGACCACTGACTCTGATCCTAGAAATTTATTTTCCCCAAATTTTAGCAACATAGGGAATTGTACAAAATATAGCCATTTTGATTCAGCCTCAGTATGGATCACTGCCTCCCAGTCTAACCAGCCTGTGCCACCTTGCTTTAGGTTTCATTTGCTCTTTGGAGCTCAAAAGTCGATAAGTGCTGAATCAGATCATCTCCTAAGGTCCCTGGCAAGTCCTGCCTCCTGTGATTGTAAACCATGTTTACAAACTCAGTCTTCCATTTCTAACAGCATCAAACAAATGACTCTGGTCTAACTGTTCTAGTGTTTAAAACAGCTGGGCCTCTTCTCCGGCACACATCTCAGACAGCCCAAGGGAACCAAGCACCAACAATATTAAGACAGTTTTAGAACCTTTCTCTGCTATAAAATAATTGCTAAACTAGGAAAATAAACACACAAAAATTAACATCACAAATCAGACTCATCCCTTCTTTTTTTCCCACTGCCTGTTAGAAAGTAACCAGTAAACTACAGCTTTCATTCATCATCTGCTTACAACTCCAAGTTGTTACTCTCGCAACAAACTAGGCCTTAATGGGCTTTTGCTAATCACAGGTGAAAGGTCACTCTCATTTAGCAGTGCACCAAGCAATAAACATAACACATTGACATGACACAGGAAGGGATTGATATTCAAACGCTGACATGGATTATACCCAGAATCAAAATATTTTAACTCAAGAGAAGATATTATCAGTGTTGGCCACACATAGTCCTTAGAACTCTTTACAGGCTAAAAAAAAAATATAAGATCCATATACAAACACAATAAAGACAATAAGTAACCTATGAACTAACTTGTAGCTTTGAAATTATGTATTAATTTAATAACAATGCCAATAACACCAGTAACTGACAGTCCACAGTCCCAAATCCAAAGGTATAGGATCAGAGTTTTCTTTCTCTTTTTCATGCAGGTCCATCCTGCGACTAGTTATGAGCAGGAAAACTTCTCTGTACGCTTAAGAATGAACCGGACTCACCTTCTCGGCAAAGTCGCATTGCTTCTCGGTTTCTTCCATATTCCTTGAAACTTTCTTCTAATGCTGTTCCTGAAACCCAAAAAGCCACAAGACAAGATCTCAGCCCGTGCTGAAGTCGGAGGGGAGGGCTGTTGACCTGTAGCCCGTTCCCCCGTGGGCACACACCGGGCAGTAAACACGGGATCGCAGTGCCCGAGGTCTCCCGGCGCGGGGGAGCCGCTGTCAGCGCCGGGGATGCCTCACCTGCGGCGGGAGCTCCCCCGCCCCACGCCCCGGCTGAATCCAGGGCAGGAGGTGCCCTGCTCCGGGGACCGGATCCGACCTCCCCGCACCGTGTCCCGGATTACAGGAACTGGGGCAAGCGCTGCTCGCTCCGCGTCGCTCCCGAGCCCGGCCGGGGGCGCGCACCGGGCAACGAATGTCGGGGGGGGGAGGAACCGACCCAACCTCCCCGCCGGGCCCCGCACCCGCCGCGCCGTCCCGGGGCCGCGCCTGGGCACCTGCACGCCCGCGGGCGCGCTGGGGACGGGCGGGGGGCTGGGGCGGCGCGGGCGGGCACTCACCGTCGTTCCCGTGAAGTTTAGCAGCATCGACCCAGTGGCTCCAGGGCTGCCCCAGCATCGCCTCGGGGCTGGGCAGGGACCTGCGCTCCCCGACGGCCGCCATTGCCGCTGCGGTGGCGGCGGGGCCGGCGCCGCTCCCGCCTCCTCCGCCTCCTCCCTCGCCGTGGCGGGGCCGCCGCTGCCGCTGCCTGGCGGGGCCGCCGCGCTGCTCCCTCCTGACGTCACCCGCGGCCCGCGCCGACATTCTTTCCGCTGCTACAATGTAACGAGAAAAGTCAGCGGCCGCTTAAGGTGGCGCCGCGCTCGCTTAAGGCGGCGGCGGCGCCGCTGTCACGGCGCGCCCCGCTCCGCTCTCTCCTTGCTCTCCCCCCGCCGGGAGCCTGCGGCCCTGCGGCGGCGCCGACTCACCTCTGCGGCGGCCCGGGGGGCAGCGCCCGGGTGCCCATTATTGTGCGGGGGAGCGCTGCCTTCCTCTTCACCGTGTAGGTGAGGCGCGCTTGGGCTTGCGCTAACAAAGCGGCGGGAGGGAGCCGGGGGGTAGGGCTACGCCGCCCGCCAGGCGAGCCCCGGCTCCATGGGCCGCCTCGCTCCCTTGCGCACCGCGGCCCCGCGACCCTACAAAAACAACGGCCGCATCACAACCCCGCCTGGCACCCGCTGCCCCGGGAAGGGGGCGGACCGGGAGCGACGCGGCGGGCGGGGCCGGGATGGGCGCTCCGCCCCTGCTCGCCGGTCCACCTTAAACCCGGCGCCTCCTTAAAGGCAGCGGCGAGCAGGAAACTCGCTCCGGGCGGGCGCGTCGTCCCCCCCCGCCGCTCCCTCCCCTCCATCCCTTCCCTCCCTCCTTTCCAGCCTTTCCCTCCCTCTACTCCTCGCCCCGGGCAGGGGGGGGGACACCGAGTGAGTTTCCTGCTCGCTGCTGCCCTCGTTATACCCGTAACCTGTCTCCCGGGGGGAGGGTCTTGTCATTGTTATTCCACATTTCTTCTTAAACACCTTTTTTTTTTTTTTTTTCCTAAACTTTGGGATGACGTCGAGTGGTGTTATAAGCGAGGATTAAAGGATGCTGTCGAGCCTGACGACTCATAGTAACAAAGTTTTAGGGTTGGAAAAACCAAGTTGCTTGATTAAAAAAAAAAATTAAAAAAAAATTAAAATGGGTTTGGAATTCATTTATTATAGGATTCTCTCTCCACTAAAATGTTCAAGTACCAATGTAAAATTAAACTCTTAGGTCGCAATCTGCAAAGATTTCTGGCCATGCTTGACGACACTGTCAGTAAAATACCCTTGATGAACAGCTAAAAACTGTAAATCTTATGAGCTGTCTCCTCTATAGATACTCAGTCCATGTGTGAGCTCTAGAGCACGGGACTGGCACCATCAGTGGAACTGCTCATAGATCTCATATTTTGTCTGATATCTGCAAAACCAGACAGTAGAAATCAGAACTGTAAATAAATACACAGTCCCAGTCCTGAAAAGGTGTATAAACATGCAAGCTTAGCTAATTTTCGTTTTCTATTTTCATTTAAAGTGTGGGACTATACAAGCTAGAGCTGTTTCTTTCCAAATTTATGGATATAAAAGATCTATAAATTCAAACTCATCACACCATAGTCATATGGGATGGGATAGGCTGTAATTATAAGAATAGTTTCAGTGTTCCACCCAACTGATAATTTATGTCACACTCTGAAAGTATCTCATAAAACTGCAGATCTAATACAGAATAGCCAGAGTGATTTTTCTCTCCTCTTGATCACTGCAAGTCTAACTTAACTCCTTAATAAAAGGCCAACACCATAAAATTTAGATAAAGAGAGCAACTGTGACTTCTGCTGCAGACATTTGTAGCAGGATTAATTATCAAAGGCAATCAACTTCTCAAGATGGGCCCTGATCTTTCAGACAGTTACACCAGCTCCTTGTTGTCTTGTAGCTTCCCAAAAATCTTCAACTTAGTCTGAGCATGAGTAAAGGAATTCATGGTACCAGAGTCTAAAGATAACTGATGAATGGAAGGCATTATTGTTTGATTAATTATCAATTAGCATACTTTATAATATAGAAAACTACTCAGAATTAAAGCTGAGAACATCACCGGAAGAAAAATGTCCATCAGGTGCTGAATAACTTCTGAACAGAACCTCAGCTTTTTTTTGTGGTATAGAAGCCAAATGGGAAAAAAATAATCTATGACTGATTTCTTTTAAGCTTAGTTCTTCAAGTGCTTCACAAATGGAGTCTAAGATAACATCCACAGCTGAATTCAGACTCCAGATATAGGATAAAGCAAGTTACAGACAGGTCTATATTCTGTGTCAAATATTTTTGTTTATATTACAAACTTCATTCATGCAGGTCCTTTGTCCTGGAGAAAGCCAGCAGAAAACTGCCTCAGCTGCAGTTTGAAAAAGAATCCTTGATATGTCCAAGTGTCGATCAAATTCATAAAGGTTTTTTCTATTTTTTTTTTCCAAAAACATAGAGCAAATATAGTGATGAGTGACCAAACAAAGCCATAGAACACCATCCCTTAGCCTTTAACAGTGACAGAGTTGACCATGGCATATTAATTTTATGTTCACACATCACATGATTCTTTTCTTTAAACATTACCAATGTATGTATGTCAAATCATGCAAGAGCAAAATGGCTTAATCTGGCAAAATTACATCGATTAGCTAATTACTTTAACAAACCAATAGATTACTTTTCAGTTTCTGAAGCTGACACTCATCAACTTACTCAGAAGTGTCTCTCGATTCCAAAGTGCCAGCCACACAGGTAAAGCACATGCCACTGTTATTTCATACAGCTTTGACTACCCCCTTTCTGGCTCTTCTCTGTTCTTTCAATCTGGTTGTTGCATATTTTTTCCCCTCCCTCATTCACAGCTTTTCTTTCTTTCCTATATATTCCCACTCAAGATCTAATTCTGCAGTCTGGGCCTCAGGCTGTCCTTTAGTAAACCTTCCGCTACTGAAATATTTCCCCACTGTGCCGTGAGTACATCAGTATTCCAGCAGAGGGAGGGAAGTGGCAGCAGAAGGACTGGTTCATCAGTTCAGTGCACAAGACCAATTAGTCAGAGAGCAGGAATAGGGGCAGATGAAAAACTGATTTTACAAGCACTGGAAGTGGCGAGAACTTTCTTTTCCCACAAGCTCACCAGGCTGAATACGTGTTTGGGTTCTTTCAAGCACACAAGTTCAATTCCCTTAAATTGTTTCCATAATGCTATACATGGATGCATTGATTATTTTAGGCTAAAAAAGGGAAAACGCTGAAAATCCATCATGTTATAAGGAGATCAGAATTGAAAACACATGTACAAGCTGTAGACTTTAACGGAGGTGAGCGTTACAGATCTGAGACATCCAGTCAGGAGTGCAGCCATCCAAAACTCCTGTGGCGGTCAGTGGAGAGCCAGGGGTACTTTTGGGATCAATTTGGTCCCTTCTGTTGCAAAACACTTTTTGAAGAACCTTCTCCTCCCACTGACCACAGAAGTAGTCAAGGATGTCAATGCACATGAATTAGGCACCTGCATTACACATTCAGAATTAAGTGGGGTGAATCTGGTCAGGAGTGGGAAGAACACTCGAATATGGAAAGCACTGCCTAAAAGCCAATGCTTCTCTTTAAGAGAACAGAAAGGAGCCCAGAAATGCCACCAGTTCTAAGGACTTAGCTGAGGAAGCAAAATAGCCCCAACAGTAGCACTGGGACTAAGACAATGTGTGAAAAACCACAGACTGCTGATACCTGTGAATGAGAACAGGTATTTGGAGAACAGAGAGAAAACACAAGGAGGAGTTAAGCTGAGAAAGTGGTGAAGGAAAAATGTGAGGCAGGAAAACAGCAGAAAACAGTGGAATGATGTAGAGAAAACAGCCAAATAATGATGTGAAGAAAGCATAAACAAACAAACTATGTAACACAGCCTGTAAAAGGAAAGAAAGGAGACAGAAAGAGGAAACAAAACATAAAAAAACCCCAACCAACCAACCAAACAAAAAAAACCCAACAAAAAAAACCAAACCCCACAGTTTTAAAGCTCACTAAATAGTTTTAACAACATATTGAACATGGTTGGTGACACTATGAATAAATGTATGCCTACAAACAACATGCAACTGCTGAAAACTGCAGCGGATGGTTATTTTGTGGCATGACACTGCAGGCATTTTTTCACCTGTACCAGCAGGTTTCTTTCTTTTGCCAGGTGGTCCGGGAAAGCCGTTCAAACAGGGAACACCTACTTCAGCTGTTCAGTTAGAATCTGTATGACAGCCTCTGTATAGGACCTGAGATATGACAACTCTTAACTGGAATGAAAAAGGAAGGATGAATCTGCAGCCGAACTCTTTTAAGAGCCAAAGTACAATGATGTGATTCACCGATGGTTTTCCACAATGAAAGTGAAAGGATGCGAGAACTGAAGGGCAAAGGGAAGACAGGGAGAACCCCACGAGGGTGTCACTTTATCAGTACTCAGAAGAAGGGAAAATAGTGAATTCACAGAAAGTCTGTCGAGAAAAAGCTCTGAGGGGCATAATGGCGTTAAAGGAAATCAAATAAGTTAATTCTAGCCAAAAGGTATGAAATGATCAAGAAGGGCTTTGAAACTAAGAAGAAACATTATTACAGAAGACTTGTTGGTAGATGGGATTCAGGATGAAGTGACAGCTCAAGCATCTGATATGCTGAAGTCCTGACCCTCCCATCAGCTCCTGCTGACAGCAGTGGAACGGGGAGCACATTCTGTGCATTTTAAAATACATCTCCAGTATGAGAAGGGTAAGAATATAATTGGACAAGGATGGAAGCAAGAGATAAAAATTCATATAAATCAGAATATCCAGATGAAGATAGAACCACCCAGCCATAAAAAACAGACCATTTAATTTAAGCCCCACTATGAAAAAATATTAATATGTCAAGAAAAACACATTATGGTGACCTGTAGTTCAGTGAAATGGAGCAACTTCTCCCTTTATAACTAAACACAGGACCATTCTGCAAAATAATAATCATATGCAGCACACAATAAAAAATTATGTAAGAAACCATACCAGTCTATTATCCTTTTTCCCACAGATCCTGGGAATAGGTTGATGTGTATAATTTTATTTATGAGTAACACTTCAAAGGGGGAGCTGAAGATGCTCAGAAGTGCTGGAATGCAGCTACTTTAAATACTGGAATATGAAATTACTGTGGATACCTACTATCAACCACCTGTACCAGAAGAGAGTAATATTGTTAAGATTAGAAGACTAACCTAAAGTATCCATTTCTCAGGAGGAGGAATGGGGCAATGGAGGCTAACAAGTGTAAGCAAACCTGCAAAGAATTCTGCACTAGGATGAGAATGCACTACATGTTCCTATACGTTTATCCAAACACCACAATAACACTTTTACACCCAAATTATAAGCCAATGTTATTGCCATGCATTAATAAAATACACAGTATCTATCAAAACATTGCAACCACTTCCTTCTTTTCTTAGCTATCAAATATGTCTTAAAGGCAAGTCAAATTTCTGTAAGAATTGATGACACAGAGATCTAGAGCAGAAAAGGAACAGAGGAGCACAGATCTTTGCCCTGCTTAGATGTCACTAGATACTGTCAATTACTGAAGAGAAATTTGCAGAGAAAACATTCAGTAGTGACACAAAGTTTCCAAATGTTAAAGGTAAATAGGTAAAACTACACAAAATACATCCAGTTAATGATTTGGAAATCAAACTAATGTTTATTAATTTTACATAAGGTATTGGAATCACCTTTTGAATTTGGAAATGTTAAAACAATTTCAGCAACCCAATTATGCAGATGAACCATTTTAATCAGAGGAATCAGAAATAGGCATGACCTTTTAAATTCTCATTTATACACAGAGAATATGATATTACAACTTAGAATTATTAAAATACACAGCTATTCAGGCCAATTGTAACAAAACATTAGTGCTGAGTTTCCATTTATTGAAATCAAAGCACTCAATAGGGACAATTTGGTACTGATGATCTTCTGATGGAACCTACCTACCACACAAGGTTTCATCACCCTGCCTGGTTTCTTGCCAGTTTGTCCACGTGGCTCCAATACTCCAGGTCCAAGCACAGCCCACAGGACTTGAGTTCTTGAGACCACAATAACACCAGCCTACGATGTGAAGCTGTCTGAGACGCTCAGAAGTTTGACGTGCTGATTAACCACAAACCAAGGATCCTGAGAACCCTGGCACAAGGAAATTTAAATTTATACCATTCTTCTCATGTTTGACTGCTGCCTGCTGATGCTTTGCTGATGTTACCTGCTCTGACCACATGTCAGGCAAGTTAACAACGAAATATCACACAAATTGGAAGTGGGCAGGCCTGTGGGACTTGACTGGGTGCATGCAGGGGTGCTAAGAGAGTTAGTTTGAAAGATCACAGATCGGGACCCTGAGGTTGCTGGCAAACTGGCTAAACTGCTGTGCTCAAAGGGAGGTAACGGCTCAAAATCAAATTGGCAATCACTCACAAATGGGAGTTTCATGGGGATCAATACTGGTCTCAATGCTATTCAGTATCTTTTAAAATTATCTGGATGACTGGAATAAATGCATTCTTACCAAGTCTGTAGATGATACAAAAACTAGGAAGACAGTAGATAAACCCAAAATGTCACTATGTACAGAGACTGTGACATGGCTGGAAGACTGAGCCATTCCAAGAGACATAATAAAAACTGGACAGGGTCCAGCAGAGAGCCAACAAAATGAATAGAAGTTTGGAAAACTTCATGAAAAAATCAGATGGAGTTTGGTTTGCTCGGCCTACAGAAGAGAAGGTTCAGGTGAGATGTAATCACAGTCTTCCAATAAGTAAAAGATAATTACAGAGAAGATGGAGGCACTCTCTTCACGAGGAACACAGTGACAGGGCAAGAGTCAACAGGCAGAAGTTGCTTCAGAACTTCTGTCTGGATGCAAGAAAAAAATATTTACTGTGAGAACAATTAAATATTGGAACAGGCAGCTCTGAGAAATGGTGAGCTTTCCCTTGCTGGAAATACTTAACACTTGGTTTGACGAGACCTCAGATAACACACCTTCAACTGAAGGTTGGACAAGATGATGTCCAGAGGATTCTTCCAATCTAGACTTTCCTGTGATTATATGAAAACCTGATAGATGTTGTGGCCCTTGTTTAGTGATGAGGAGCAAGGAAGTAGATAACAACAAAGCCAACTTTTTCAACCCCAGGTACTCTGGGTTCACTAAGACAGCCACTTCTCAGGCTGCTGGAAAATCCAGGGAATCATTTTGTAATAAAAACTTCAGGTATTACAGCTTCCAATGTTACATATTGCAAGAGCCAGACCATGACAAACATTCCTCACTGTTCCTGAGCCCAGGTTAACTCTGCCACTTAAGTAAGTTCTGCAGATCAGCTCCATGCTAACTGGCCCTTTCTGCTGCAATCTATTTTTAAATACATTAAGAGATGATTTGCACAGCAAATACTGGCCAGGCTGTAACAGTCTGGATTCTTCATGTCTGTGCATAAGGGTGATGTCTTTTCTTTCGTGGTGTTAAGCAAAAATATACAAAATGGTGAAATGCACGTGATGATAAAGAGTAGAGATAAATGTAAGGGAAACAGAGAAAGAAACAGATATTGTTTCAATGAATTAGCAGTACCTGACAATAATAATCTGCACTAGTAGCCTTTCAGACAAAATTTCAATTTATTATCATAATTTTCTCTTTTTTTCTAACATTCTGCCATGAACACTAGTCATGGAGAATAATCCCACTGTGTTAGGCAACTGTAAAGTCTTCACCTCAGTTTACAACTCTGCTTTCTGAACTTGCAAAATAACAGGACCGGTGCAGCTGGTAGGCTATGGTACATACCAGGGCCTAACAGACTTCAAACACTTCAACATATCGTGGAAACATGGAGGTAGACAAAAATAATTATTCACAAAAAGAAGATTACTTCTTCTAAAATATAAAAACTAATAAATTATAGATGTTGATTCTACGATATTCCCTGTCTGCCACAACTTGCTTTTACAAATCAATTCACCTAACTGACTGAAAGATATAATCCAACTTAGTTTTGTCTTTTTAAGTTTGGCTGTCACATGCACAGAACTCCCTCTAGGTTGACTGTAAGGTCACTTTATTTCCCACTGAAACATACATTAAACATCTGCATTTAAAAAAAGTCTCCCCTCTGCATCTGGTAACACTTCAGACTTGCTCTGCAACCCTGCTAACACCCTGTTCTCCACGCTTCTCACATCTAAAGCATGAGAATCTTATGCTTAAAGAAAATATTTGGGTAAGCATGTCACAGTACCTTGAAAGTATGGTGAATCGCTGGGTTGACTTATCAATTGATCTTCATCTGTTCAGATTTTGGAAGCTTTTCCTAACTTGTACCTGATTAATTCTGAAAGTAAAGAAAAAGAGTACAGCAATAAGACATTTGAAACCTTAGCTGCATTTCCTAACTATAACTGTATCTATTTAAAAACTAATACGAAGCATTTTATCAATTTTACGAATATATTTTCTGCAATGGGTTTCAAATTGAAAGGTAAGCAGGGAGCTGTTATGGTCTCTTCTGTGGAGAGCAGCTCTTTAAATGGCAGCCTGACCTTACCAGAAAGGTATGCATCGGATGAAACCTCAATCTTCAGCCCAGTTACTGCACTTACATCGACTATTACTGACCAGATTCCCAAGCAGACGTGTCTGTATCACAAGCAAGAAATGCGAGGGTGCTGGATTTCCTATGGAGGATTTTTCTAGAATACAGCACGACTCCAGCAACAGGGGCTCTCGGGACGCAGCCGTGGACATTTTTACCCCCGTGCCATAGAACGCGGGTAGCTAAAAACGATCCCTCACGTAATCATCATCAGCGACTGTCACCGTCCCACTGATGAAGAATTTAACAAAAAATAGAGACATGTACACACTGAGGCCTTCCCACAAAAGGAACTTTTACCATCTCAAGCTCAGGTTTTTGAGATCCTTCCACTCAATGCTTATGACCTTGTTGTCTGTCTAAACTAAACTTTAGGCTGGTTTGCTTTGGTTTAGCACAGATCAATGCCTAACGGGTCAAAGCTAAACTGAGGGCCTGTTAAAAATAATGCAACCATTCTTGTGCACAGGTTATATTTAAGATCAATTATAAGTGCTTTGAAATTAAACTGGTAGGGTTTTTTTCATCACTAAAAAGCCATGAAGCTACATATAAATAAGCCAACCTAGCACTGGGACCAGATGACACTTCAGAGAAAACTACTTTTTTCCCCTCCAAGGACTAAAGTCCAGACAAGAGGAATGCAGTCCACGAGGGCATCCAAGCTGTCCCATGGGCTGTAGGGCTCTGTCTCAGTCTGGGGTCAGAACAATGCTCTTCCCAGCTTCTCCTGCTCCTCTGGGAAGCTGTCTGCAAACCTAGTTCATAAAAACCAGTCTTTAAAGTCTTTTTTATGTACTGAGGATAAACTCCTTTTTCCCCCTTTTCCTTTAAACTGCAGTTTAGCAGCTGACAGTACCTTGACTGAGATCACCTACAGATATATTTACTATTTCTAAGATTGACTCTGCTCACTTACCTGATCCTAAGAAGCATATCCTAGATTAATTATTTTCTAGTTACTTCATAAAATCCAAATTTTTTTGTGTCATAAATGGACAAGAGAGCAAGTCCAGTATTATTTTTCTCTCTCTGCTGCAGTCACTGTTCTGCTTTGTGCTTAATAAGAGTGATCATTAACAAATTTCTACTCTAGTAGAAGTCTCAGAAAACACTGCATTTCCTTGTTACACATACAAATCTCACTGAATACTACAGTATAAAAGTTTCTCTTCAATTCTTGCTGCAGCTGACTGGGAAAATGCAATGCAGAATTTGTAAAAAATCCTTTTTTTCCTTTGTTAGTTTTGGACAAGAGACTCTGAATTCATATGGACCAGCCCCTTCCCAGAAGATCATTCAATGTTTTGCCTCAAAGTCCCAGTCCTTTCAAGCCTATGACCTCCCTGCAGTGGAAGTAACTCACTCCTCCATCTCTACCCCAATTTCTTTAGGGGATATGAGAGCTCTGCATGCAAAACGCTCTTTCTTTTATCCTGATATAAGTGTTATTTGTTAGACAAAAGCAAGTTCTGCTGCTGCATGCAAAAATGAAAACAAGAACTATAAAACAGAAGATGTCTCCAAAGACGTAAAAATCCAGGAACAGGGTGATAACAGGTAAGTATAAGAAATGGACCAGACGAGGGTGGAGAAAAGATCAGCAAAAATGTTATTCCTATGTATCTGAGAGATCAGAACATACTATGTCACCACCTGTGAATTTTGCTGTAGGGATTACATCTGCAGCCGAGTTTGAAGGAAGTTAAAAGAGTAAGTTTCAAAAGAGCAAAGTGACAGCTTAACGACCCTTTAAAGAGAACTCTTTCTCCGGATAATGGGTGGCAAAGAACAGGAATGATTCTCGTTGAGAATTTACAGCAGGTCAATTACAACCACAACTGTCAGCAGAGAGTAATGCAAGGAGGCGGTGGGATGACTGAGAACAAGCCACGAGGAGCTCTCTCTCTAGAAGGTACCCTTGGTACCTTGGAAAACGGACGTCTAGTTGAAAGGTGGAAAGATGACAAAAAAAGTCAAAGCAGCAATCCAAGAAAATGGAAAAGGGCCTTCGTTTCCAAACCAGTGAAGCATTATGC